TTAGCATAATGTCTTTGGGTATGGTATGTATATAACATACATATACATATACAGACATATACCGCGGTACTGGCACCCCGCATAGTACCCCTCCTCAGCACTTTGTGTGCAAATTACGCTCGAGACGAGTTCGGATGGAATAGAGCTTCAACCTTAGCTTCGAGGACGAAGCAAGTCTCCGATGTAACCTCCTCGTGCGAGATCCGAATGAAAATTTAAAGCGAAAGAGTTACTTGAAGAGTGCATCTTAAATGGGAAATGTTGTTTTTTCGAAGCGTAAAAATCTCATCAACTTAAAACTTTGACGATGAAAAGAACACTCTCCATGTGTCAATTTTTTGCTTTTCTTATTTAGTTTCTGTCGAATAATCCAGATAGAATCATATAATACATTTCGAATTTTTATAGATTCATAAAGGTTTAAAATATTAAAAAAGAAAGAATTTCTCGATAATTCTTTATTTATTCTACATTTATTCTACATACACGTTAGAATACTCTGGACTCAAGAAGTGCAACTGTATTTCCAACTTGTAGTAACGAGGGGTTCAGAAAATCCAGGCAAGCTCACTCCCACTTCTCCTTTCGTCCTTTCCTCCTTCTGCCATGCTGCCTTCTGCGGAAAACAAGACATTTATAAACACCCACTGCGAGATTAGATTTGTTAAGATAATGGGGCGCCTGGTTTAGCAAGGCAGCTCTTCTACGCTCGCAACTATCATCCTTGAGAGGCTGCAACCGCCGTCTCCGTAATCCCAAATATGACCTCGGTTGGTAGGTAGTTAGGCCGTAGGTGCACCCTTACGTAGGACTACGCGCACTCCAGATCCTTCTTTATGTATTTACCACGACGAGACACGCTCCTTGCCAGCCTATCCTTTCTAAGAACGTTAACTCCGTTTTATTTGCTAGTACGAACTACTCTCGTAGAAATATTTTAAAAGTATTTGTTTTATGTTCATAATCAACATTTGTAGATTTTTTCAAGTTCGGTTCCAAGTTACTTATTATCGAATATATTTCATCATTTCACTATGAATATAGAGACCTAATAAAGTTGAATGGTACGTCAAACTATAGAGATATCCCTCTTTGCTAAAAAGGCCAATAAATATCCAAGGCGGCTACAAATCTCAAGATAAATACGAACCCGTATTTTTCTATCTCCTTTAGCTTTCTCACTTTTTCTCATCTGGCATGCTCGGGAAAAAGGGCCGGCCCTTTTTACATTCCTCGTATGAATTATTAGGTAACCAGACCTATGGGGTGGACACACCGCGGTATTTAATTTTCACTTCCCCTTAAAGCAGCACGATTTTTTCCCTAATCGTATCCCTGACGATGAAAGTGCGGTTTACACTTTGTCACTGACCCTTCGTTTTTTGTTTTATCGATATATTTACCTACGTACGAGCGGTAGGAAAGAAAGTTTTTTTAATTTTTAAAAAAAAATTTTTTTTTCTTAACATTTCGAGAAATGTTTTTTTTTACTGGGGAAAAAGAAAGTTTCGAAAATAATATAAATTAATTATTCCCACATATGAAGGATCAGATCGATTTGATAGGTGTATCATACAGAAAAAAAACGCTTCGGTGGAATTTTCTGAACGGTAAAGCAGGTAGATTGGTAGGCGATGCCAATTAAGAGAGACGGCAATTGTGAGCAGCGAAGTAGAACTAAGGGCTGGCGGGTGCTGATGATGTATGTGGTGGAAAATACTGGGGGCAATCTGTCACGCCATCGACGTTTCGTAGGTACCTCACACATACAGTCACACTTGCTCTTTTTTTCTTACACTTCGTCTTTCCTTCTTTCTACATTTTTATAAATGAAAGAATACTTTTGAAAAGAAATACAGAAATGGAAATGTTGAGTAGCCAATCACGCTTCTAAGGTGTAATCACAGCAATCGACTTTCTTCGTATTTTTCGGCATAGATTGCTCAAAAATTACGTTTTATTTTCGAAGTACGCACATCGAACCCTCTCATTAAAATTAATTACACGAAGCTGAACTGAATTTGAGATAATTCTTAAATGAATACAGCTGAGTTATAACAAATGAATATATTTAAAAAATTCACTATTAACATAATTATAGAACTGGCAAAGTAAAAACTGTTAGAAATAGTATATTTTAAAAAGGATAATAGCTGCGCTTTAATGTTTTATGTAGGTGTTTACGCATCGAATTGAGAATACTAAATGCTCTGGACTAATTATTCTGAAAAATGCTCGGAGAAAATTAGAAGAAAAAAGGAAAGAGAAAGTTCATAAAAAGGATTTCAAATATAAAAAGAACAAAGAAAGGGAATGAGTGATCCTTATTTGGTTGGTGTGTCTGTGTTATTAGTCTCTAAGTTTTTTTAACAATCTCACTTGCAGTCATTGATACTACTGCAACTAAAAAATAGATGTTTCAAATTTAAGATAAATGTCATAAATCATTTGGCTTAAAAGCTTACCTCTTGAGTTTGTTGTCCGGTCTAAAATATTCCAAAACACTAAGAATTAACGGAGATATCTAAACATAAATAACTATTAGGCATGGACCCTTAGCCACATTCCATATATTCCATATACAAGACATCTCGAGTATCAATTTGTTCTTCAAAAAGATCTTTAATTTAACGTTTACCGGACTTATAATATGTACTATGTACGCCTTAACAGGAAGGAACATCATCAATTTTTTAAGAAGTACCCATCGCAGACCGCTTGATAATTAGTTGCCCTTGGCTTTATGCGATACAATACATTTGATCCTACAGTCAGTCACTCGATAACGACAGGCTAGTTTGACAATAAACTGAGTCTGCTCTCTTTGCTACTTGCAAAAGGCACGAGAAGACCCTCTAGATTCATCCTCCTTCGATATCCACAAGTCGACGGTAGGTACTCTTTCACTTCTTCCACCTCTAGTCGTTCTCATCCCTCCCTTTCTTCCTTTTTCTCCCTCAAACGCGCCCTTTCTGAGTACACGGCTGATTAAACGCGCAACTACGTAACGTAACGCAAATATACTGGCCTCTAACCTCTCCCTTTCTTTCTTTCTCCCATCTATACCACTCCTTTCCTCTAGCAGCTCCAAACCTTCCGTGGAAAGAGGACGACGTAGGCCATCCACTCTCGATTCCACCTTTCGACTCTCTTTGAATTCCACTCCCCGGTCACTTGACGGAAATATTTATCGAGGGTCTGTTCCGAGACCCCTCGTCGCCCTCCTTCAAGCTAGACAGGTCGACGACAGGACGAGGCCGAGTTTCTCGTAGTTCGTCCTGGTACCTTCCCCGACACGCCTTTCTATCGACATATATATAGGTATATATGTATAGTACACGTATATCCCGTCCTTCTTCCATCTATTTTGCTCTCCCTCCTCTCTCGTTCGCGAGTTCTTTGATCCATTTCACAAAGTTTGTTCAGCTCGGATTATTTGCTCTCTTAATTACATTTCGATCCTACTTCTCTTTCTCTCTCTTTTTCTTTCTCTCTCTCTCTCTCTCTCTCTCTCTCTTTCTCTCTCTCTCTCTCTCGCTCTCTCTCTCTCTCTAGATTCTCTCACCGGTCACAGTAATATCACCAATTCTCCCACCTAACGATGATCAGACCCAAGGATTTGCATTATTGAAGAGAATCTGTGAATTCTAGAGAAATTATACTTCGATAAATCGATTAGTTAAGAGTAATAGATCAGTTGACTGAAAGACGACCGTAAGAATTAAAGTTTCATTCGGAGATAACATTACATTTGTGACATATCGAAATTTATATTCTCAATCGAAGGTTTTACCCTCCAATGAGGCACCTTTAATTAAAGAAAAATGTAATATAAACGAAAAACTAGACGAGGTTACGACGACGCCCCGCAGCTCTCGAGCCACAGGGGTTTGGCCGTACCCAAGACCGCAGAGGGTGGAACAAAGGAAGTTATCGTCGCGGAATTTTTATGTCGTCGAGAAAAAGAAATGTAAATCAGAACCCCTTGGTCTACGAGCTTGAAAGAAACGAGAAGGGAAGAATTTAAGAATTTCGTCGAATCGTGGAAAGTCTCAAGCTAAGATATAAATACTGAGATCGCTGTAGAATTTGTTCATACTTGATCTACCAATGTTAGAAACAAAGAATTATTCTCAATCGGATTATAATTAATGTCATATTTTTTTAATAATTTTCGCGATTGTCATGAAAATTTATATTGGAAGCTTTTTGAACAGTAGAATCAAACCGTAATGGCGTAATGTTTCGTAACTTTATACATTTCTGATAATCTCTCGGAGAGTTCTCGGATGGTTATTCGTGGTAGTCGGGAGGATTTATGAAATGGCAATAAAATTTATATGACTCGGTGGCTCGTTAGGGGCGAGGCTCGTTCGTTCAGATTGATGCCGGTGTGAGTTTAGTCCACTTCCCCGAGGCTACGTTTGTTTCTCTCTGCTATCGCCGTAGAGAATTTTACAGTCATTATTAATCCCTTAAAAATCGCAGATGGTACGACAAGAAAAATAGTTTCCTTTCCTATCAGATTTATCGATATCGATAATACTATCGACTTTAAACGACTTATAGAATTTTCAAAACTCAATGTAATTCTATTTCTATTCCATGTGTATGTTCAATATATCTTACTTCGAAAATATTACAATTGCCGCAAAACATAAATTCATTGTAAGAATTCTTTTCTTCTCTTTTTCTCTTTTTCTCGCAAATACTCGAAGTAGAAAAAGAGAAAAAGGAGTGTTTTCGATAACTCACTTATATCATAAATCACGCGTGTGCTCTCTCGAGCATGATGCCTGGAGGACATGTCTGCTGTACCTGTTGCTCGGATCCCCATCGACAACAGTGAGAATCGCGAAAAGAATTCAGAGGACGATAAAGCACAGTCTGACCCTTTTTTTATTCCATTCCCGAAATGGAAATTATCGCGTGACCGTAAAGAATCTTTCCGAACACGTAGATGCCGAAAGTAAATCTTTACGACCTAAATTTTGTTTCAGGTGGACGATCGTGTAAGATCGCCAAATACGTTACGATGTGTGACAGCTACCACGTCGCTCTCTATTTCGCCATTAAGTCCTGAAGAACCTGTCACGCTGTAAGTATTTCGCAAAGTTATTCTAACGAATAAGATATAAAGTCTACGTCCATCGTAGGAAGGTTCAGAAGATATCTCGATGGTTTCAATTCTGCTCAGTACTTGTAAGTTACGAAACCACAGCTGTAAATATGTAACGAGAACTAGCGACAGAGAAAGATAAAGAAAGAAGTCACTGGACTTTGGGAGTTTCGTGTAACAGTCCAAAAAGCCACTCAGACAAATTAGTCTCTAAAATTCTGAGGGTATTTCCTTGTATTTATACACGCCACACCATACCACACCACATTCGTCGGTATCTCTACGTTCTTACGCGAGAAGCCACGAGAAGTGAGAACGGTGGAGGTTGAGAAGGAGAAACTGAAGGTGGTTGGTACGTCGGGCGAAGGGGCGATATTTATGCCAGTTTTTTATTGCGTTTTAGCAGGAGAGAGCAGAATAGAAACAATATGTCACCGTAGCAGAGGTCGCTACGGTGAGGAAGAGAAGCTTGGTAGGGAAGGGAAAATGGGTGTAGGAAGTTCTTGTAGAGGTGGTTCGGTCGCTGCTACTGGTGCCGCACACCTAACGTTAATGCTAACGCCTCGCTCGTTTCTCTACCCTTCGCACTCGGCATCATGATTTTAAACGAACGACTACCTACCCTACGCCGCTTTGGCTATGGATAAAGATAGAAGTGAAAAGGAGAATAAAGAACGCAAGTTTCGCAAAAACCTTTGTTCGACTGTCGAGGATACTTTTCATTATAATATTTTATCATCATACATAATCTATATATCGATATAAATATATCTTTTTATCATAAGCATCAAGCAATTGGCAAAAATAGTAAGAAATTTGTAGGTACGTAGTTGCTTAAAAAGAAGACGATTCGTTATTTGAGTTTCGAGAATCATTGGATAAGTGCATATCGATTTCCTTCGATTTAAGATGGTCGAACGATGGTAAAATCGAAGCAAAACGAGAAAAAAGAAAGTTCCAAGGGTGGAAAGAGGTGAGAGTAAGCGGTAAAAGGGCAAAGGCTATAAGTAACGGACCGTCTAGTGGAAAGCGCTCAAGGGCGAACAGTGATTTAGAGAAATTAAAACTTTAATTCATGTTCGGGTTCGCAGGAAATCAGAGGAGGGTGTCTCCACTTTTTAACCTGGCAGCAATCCCTACTCGCGTCGAACTCTTCTGTGCACTCTTTTACTCTCTTCTCCCTTCTCTTGATCAAGCAGCGATTATTCCGCGAATAAATAAGTGAAAACAGCAACCTTTCCTTCTTTTCGATCCATTCTCAATAACCACACACATAAGTTCTTAGAGATATTTTTATACTTATGAAAACTTTCGCTTGAACATAGTTCAAGATTATATTATAGAGTGTACTGAAATAAATATCAAAGTTTAATAAGACTAAAGATATTTATAAAACACGATCAAATAATTCAGCGGAAAACATAAGATTAACTTACAACTAAACTTAGCTTAAAACGATAGTGCCTGAAACTATGCAGTAGTTCAATCATACACACTTGCCTATTCTAATCTATAGTTCGTTCAACGAGACGAGTCAGGAAACGTAAACAAAACAGTCGCGTGATAGATGCATGGGATTTCCAGCTATTGGTAGGCGAACAATAATAAATTGTTCAATGTAATAATTCTTACATAGGTCCTTGTTAGGATTTGCTTCGACTTCTTGCTCGAAAACTGTTACAATTTCTGTAAGTTGTGAGCATTTACGTTCCTGACCTGATTATATCCCCACCATGTACATTTGTTTACGTCTGCTGACTCGTTGAACGGACTATAGTAACCCTATATGCTATCTTAGGCTAAGACTATACGAACGTTTTATACGACGCGTGTTACACGTCACGTTTTCTCTGCTGAAGTAGGATTTTGACTAAATGAACATTTTACGGGCATTTTACACATTATATATTGTATCGCATTGCCAGCGTATTTTGTTTTCCGCGTGCAACATGCGACAGTCGGCGTTCCGCTAGAATATCGGAGCGTGTTCCACACTTGTGTCGTCAATTGTATTGAAACACACAGTTCTTACTTTGACGGAGAAAACGCGTCATACAACACGCGGCGTATAAAACGTCTTAGAAAATCGTTTGTTCAAATAAATAAACTGTATTTTTAACTAATATTTATAAATATAGTTATGGAATTCACTCTTGAGCTACACCATGATAAAAAATTAATAATCGTACAGTTTAGTATACGATTTATAAAAGAATTTTTTGAATTGTACAAAATAGTTATTTTATATGTTATATAGACATGCTATACATACGTAAGTGATATATAGAAATAAGATACCTCGTTCTCCTACGGAACATCATCATATATCTCGAAAAAGCCCGCAGTATATGGTTATGGTGGTTTCATTGTCGAAAATGCGTAGAGTAGCAAAAAGGGGAGTGTCACAAATTCAGAGACCAAGACACCATATCTCGGTGGAACATGTTGAAACATCAGCAAATGCTTTTCCTTGTTTCCTATTAAGCTTTATGTATCCTTCTTTTAACGTATAAGGAAGTTCAAAGACAAAGAGAAACTGATTTGATTGAATTTTCATCAAGAAACGCACAGTAATTTTTGTTTCGTAGAACGATCGAAGTTTATGACAAGGAAATAGTGAAATATTCCGATCATAAGAAGCTTTGGTTAAGACGGCGAGAACTTTTCCAGTAAATTCTAAAATGGAAAGGGTCCGAATATAGAATCAGCAAAATCGACTAGTAAATATTTAATAGTATCTCTATTAATGGTACAAGCTTTTTTTCTTGGATAGTGGTAACTATATACTATACTGAATACAATTATTACCGTTCTGATTTAAGGATCACATCCATTTTAAAGCATCATATTCTATCAGCCGATATTTATATCGTTTACTATTTGTAAAGAGGGTGGATAAAAATTCAATATCCTTCGATAAAGTTATTGGTTTCAGCTATCATCATCTCGAACTCGCCTTTATTATCGTAAGAATATATATATATATATATATATATATATATATATATATCGATAGTAATAAAAGACATTCACAAGAGTATGTTCGAATAAGGTTTTAATCGTTCTCCATACATCGAACTTATTGGTCAAATTTAATATGCATCGTCATGCAACGAGAGTCACTCGAGTAGAGCACGTGCTGTAAATTTGAATTTCGGAAGGTATCCCTAGGACTTTCATGAGCCAGCATACGGAATATAGAATATGAGGAAAGGACGCGCCCTTTATCTTCTTCTCCCTTCGTTGTCCGCCGTTTCCATTGCAGCCTCTCCTTCTCCTAAAGTCTATCTCTGTTTTCCTTATACGCGTTCGCTTTTAGGGGTGGCCTCCATCCCCCGATAAATTCCCATCACCGGGTTTCAGGTACGCCTTCCTCTAGTAAATCATACCATAAGTGAATCCGAATTGAATACAATGAGTAAATATGACTCTTGAATAATGAAAGCTAACGTTGGCGGATAAAACGAGAAAAACGGTAAAAATCATTCTTTCCTGTTTATTAACGCTTTAGTCAACTGATCGATATCTCATAGGAAAAAGAAGAAAAACATCTCATGTACCATATATGTATATTTATTAAAGCTTCTAATTATAAACTTTTCTTTCTTGATAGGGCATAGCTGTCGCTCTATCTTGATCACGCGTTGAGTTCGCAAGAAGAAAAGCGGTGGTTCAGTACCGATTATTATTTACAGCTCGCTCAAGAATAGTTTTTCCAATGAACGTCCTTCCTTCCAGTCTATTAACGTCCCTTTTCTCAAACCATGGAAGATCTCGTACGACACAGAGGCGATCATTGACGTCGCATTGCCTTCGTGCGATATATGTAGATGTCTTCGATAGAGAGAGAAAAACAGGCGGAGAGAGAGAGAGAGAGAAAGAGAGAAAAAGAGAGAGAAAGAGAGAGAGAGAGGGAGGGAGGGGGAGAGAGAAAGAGAGAAGCGTGTCGGAGTATTAGAGTGTAGATTCAAGCGAAGAAGTGGAGCCGGGTGGGTAGAAATGCATAAATACATGAACTATGCTGGAGTTCGGCGGTATGTGTAAAGGAGGGATGGAAAGACGAGCTTGGCCCGCATATGCTCGTGTGAGTAAATCGTGCCTTCTAGAGCCATAATAATGCGCGAATAGCGGCTCTTTCCTCCTGAAAATACGGCCTTTCGAAACGTCGTGTTTCCCCCTGGAAAAAGACCTCGATTTTGGCTTCCGCGTTGAGTACGAGACAGCATCGGCAAAGATGAGAAACGACGAATTTATTCGTCTCGCTTTTCGTATCGTTTCGTATATATACGTATGTATATATACATGTAGGATATATCTACTGCGATATAGTAGCCTATAATATAAGAGGTGATATTTCTGGATTTACGTCAGGATTTTCGAAGATACGTTTTAACCATTAATAATTCAATTGATTAAAATCTTATACTTACAAACCTAATTACAATTGTGAGAACATAGCATACTTTCTTTACATTTTACGCTGCTCTTACTGCAACGATTTTCTATTCCGATTTAATTAACTTTGCCAATATGTGAAATATCTTTTAAGAAGGACGCTGACCATAATAGTCTTATCGGACATGCTGCCAGCATATCAACTTTGATATAATTCCGTGCGTATTTTTATCGTCCTCCTCTCCTCTCTTAATACTTTTCGAATACTTTTCAGAATAAAACAAATTATTTTCGATAAAGAATATGGTAATAGAATATAGTAGTTAAGAATATAAGTAAAGAGGTGCCTTGGCGAGTATTAGGAAGATGAGATTCGCATTCCCACGTTAGTGTCACGCGAGTAATTACACGCCATCAAAAGAGAAGGAAGGGAGGGAAAGGAGTGATACTTTACCCTCTCTCCAGTGAAAAGGGTTGTCGTCGCTTCCGTCGTTGTTTTGGTGCTCCTCTGACGGTGTTACTGGCGCGATGCCTCCAAAGCCGTTGCGCGATTTGCAGCCAGGAAGAGAAAGCAAGCAGAGCTA